TTTTCCCATGGTTGTGGCCTATGATTATACCTCAATGACCACTTCCTTACCTAGGACAAAATGAATGAGCTTGTTTGGAGTTGTTGCCTTTTTCTTAAACCCTTTTCAAAGTATTTTGCTTAGAACATAGTTCCATCACATGAAGGGTCATATACTTGTTTTTTTATCCCTTCTTTTTGCTTATTGTTTTTTGCGACTACTTTGAAATCTTCTACTACCAAGTACCATTGGAAAGTAACCGGGTAAGATCCAACTTTCCTTTTCCTCTTGCTACTGAGCCGCATGACCCACCTTTCCCCTTTTATTTGCTCAAATCACTCGATCATGCGAATTTCGCGATCCTGCTCACTGTCGCTTTCTCGGTCCAGACTCCCACAATCTTTCTTTCTTATTCTCCTTCCCACGCCCAACACCAGTTCTCTGACACCTTGCTTCCTATATATGAGGTCGAAGGGTTAGGGCATGGCATCACCTATTCTCACTCGCCTTCTGCTACGGCAGTCATTATCCCTTGAGCAACCCCCTCCTCTACTTTTGAAGCCCTAGTCAAAGGCAAAAAGTCAAATTCTCCTCCATCAGCAGATCAAGTGTTGTTAGCTTCTCCCTTTCCCTTCTTTATGATTTTTTATAGCGCAATTTTATTATTGAGTATAGTCACTTATATGTCATTTCTTCAGTGTTATTTATTTAACATTAATGATAAATTATGTTAAATCTAGCTTTAATTAGTTCAATTTTTTTTCTTTTAAGAATATAATAATAATAATAGTAAATGTAAGTTAGGTTACACCTAACTCATTAAATAATTAATTTTAATAAATATAATTTCACGATTGTTAACATTAGGAAATTTTGATGTGTAGGAGCTACTATTCGACTTTGGTTGAATAGGTATTAAATTTAAAGTTTTGTTGCCCTTCTCGAAGTGAGTAATTGTTATTTATTATAGGATAAATATACCCTTCAAAGTTCTGTTGCCCTTCTCGAAGTAATTGTTATTTATTATAGGATAAATATACCCTTCGTATTGTTTATATTAGATTCATAGTTAATTTGTAGGATTGAGAGTACTGTCATTGTTACTCTTTATATTCTTATAGCACTTATTATATGATTTATTTATTGCTCATAATGGAAAACTTAGATGACTTCTTTTTTTATTGCACACGTCCTTGCAAATTTGATTAAATCCTGCGGTTGAAATTTTTTTTTCTTGCACGTTAATGTTATGAATTACAATTATAAATATTGCACGTTATGATCATGTTTGAAAAAGTAAATGTATTGGTCATACTGTTTAAATAATTTTTCATTAAAATTTACAAATGTATGTTTTTGCAATGGTTTGCAGATCATGGAACTTTTTAACATATTGGCTAACCGAGCCGACGGGCCCGTAAAATAACAACTCTATAGAAAATTATAGATAGAGCTTTCTTGGGTTTGTGTTTATATTCCCAATTTTAGGGTGCCTAATAAAACTGACTATATAAACATAAATTAAACTGAAATTAAATAATGAATGACTGTAAAGTCATATACTGATAATTGTTCGTGATGAAATATTTCATTAAATAGATTAAACATGCTCATAATATACTAATTTTGATTATATAACACATTTTTTACGAATATAATTATATATAAGCATATAGTAATTTATTCAATTTTATTATCCATATCGCATGCTCCTGTTCATTTTCATTTATATTTTCATATATAGTAGTTATTTACTAAGTTTAATTTTTCAAACTCATATGTTGATATTTTTGTATAACAAATTTTATTAGCCGCTTGCAGGATTTTATCCGAATGAGCAAACATTTTAGCTCTAAATTTCTTTTTGGATATTTTCAATAATTATTTTAGTTATTGTATTTGCTCTTTTGGGTTTTGAGTACCTATTTTTCTATTGACATTTCAATTTTGTTTCTCTTTTGTGTTTTTTTTTTTATTTTTTTAGTTGTATCAATTAGACTCTTATTTATGAAATTAATTTATCTTTATTAAATTTCATTATTGCTTGCATATAGTACTTTATTTTGAGAATACCAAATATGTTCAATTATTTTCATCATGTACTACGTTGTCAAGATGTACCACCTTCCGGACTTTGGGTGTGACACCGTATACCCAGTAGACTTAGATAATCTATAAGAATTTGGATAATATATATATACTCTATATATCATACGTGACGGAGTTGGATAATCTCCATATACTTCATGGAATTCAATAAAATCTTCAATTTGGAAGCCATGGTGGGGCAATCTTTGAGAAAGAAAAGTTTGAGGTCTAGCCCTCTAAGGAACCGATGGTCTAATTCAATGCATGAGAAGCCATGTGTACAATCACCTCAACTTGAATGTATATGAGAAATTATATAGTCGAAAAGCAACTCAAGGGAGAAGCTTCTTCTTGAGAGGAGATTCAATGGGTCCTCTTTAGACTTGACGTATATATGTTGTAGATTTAAGTTGGCATATAATTATTTTAGAGCCTAGAACATAATAAGCATGTCATTATGACCAAAACTTCATAAATGATGGAAGAACAATTTGCTTAAATTGATCGCCTCGACAAGCAAAAATTTACTTGGAAGCATGCCTTGCATTGAAGAAAGGAGTTTGCTTAGAGTCATGGCCTAGGCTTTATAACTATGCTATAAAATCTTGTCTAGAACTTATCCTCAACAATCACAACCTCACCCACGATTGAATGGAGTTTTCTTGGAGTCATGGCCTAGGCTTACGCCTTAGCAATCACAATCTCGCTGGAAAATTTTGAAGTACATTTAGGAGTTACCCTCATTGATTATTTATCAAAGTTTATTTGATAATCATTTTCTACTATGAAGGAAGATTGAATTTAAAATCCATCAATGATAGATTAAACTCATTGTGAGATCTATCAATGTGTACAATTCTATTTAAAAAATATAGGGGGCATTTACATACATACTACATAATTCTTATGTATTTGCATAATTAACGCCTACCCTTTCATATTTATATATATAGCACTCGCATCTCTAACATCACATCAAAAATACCATCAATACTAACTTTTTAAAGGTGAAATTCATTTTTATGAATAGATTTTTGACATCAAAGTGTCATAAATGTAAATATCAAATTTAGGTGTTAGACACGTAAACACATAAGAATGGAAAGGTAGGCATGTAAATTTTCTAAAAATATATGCCAACCAGTTTAGTGCTCGATCATTGAAAGATACTCCCAAGGTTTTCTAGTGAGAACATTTAGGAGCACCCCTACGACCCACACTAACTAGGGGCTTTCAATGAATTTGAATACATAGAGACCATCTACAAGCCTATCAATGTGTGTCTCGCACATAAGGAGACACTCTTAAGACCAACCACAAGCCTATCCAACACAATTTACCCATCCAAGCCTGATATAAATGGGATCATTTGGAAACTTACATGTTGATACTTCTTTAAATAATGAAGTAAGGTCAACCCATACTAATATTAAGAGGGTCGACCTTCATAGATCTCAACAAAAGGTTATGCCTACTTGCAAAGAAATGCAAGCAAACTTCCATTATTTTTGCAAATAATACTGGTTTTCTAATTTAAAATGTCAAATTGTTGCATGATGTTGAAAATAATTTTCAAAGCTAGTAAATTTTGGATATATAACGTCCTAAGCTAAACACCGAGTCTTGCACAATGTCAACTGAAACAAAAGGCAAACAAACCAACCCAAGAATTATGTTTGCAAAAGGCCCTATAATGCTAAGCCCAATTTGAAATTAAATAAGTATACACTTCCAAATGAATGATTAAAAACTCAAATAAGAAACCTCTTTATGTGAATATATAAGGAGCCTTTACCTTGCTCCCTTCCGGGTATTTATAAACATTTGGATAAAAGGAGTTTAAATAACCATGTGATTGCATGATGGATACAACAAGCCAAGTTGCATCTAAGATCCATCTTAATTAAGAACATTTTTCTAGTCAATAAAAGAGTTGAGAATCAAGCCATTAGCTTTGAGATTCAAGTTGAACCATCACGCCCTCAACAATGATGGATAGATAGATGAAGGCCTTAACTCCTTAGATTGATGTTGTTTGCGTTCTCAATATGATGACAAGATCTAAACCAGATTTGAGAATGGTGCCAATGATGATCAGAGTTGGATGGCCATATATATGTCAAAACCAGAAGTTAGTATCAATGAACATGTGCCCATCAAGATTGACATATAGTTCAACACAAATCTTGGTGAGATCAAAGAATGTCGAAGCCAAAAGAACCATTTGTCATGTTATAACCTAAATGCAGGAAGATCATTGGAGCATGAATCTTGGCATTCTTGATAGAACAGTTAGAATTAATCCAAAGCTTTTTTAGGCAATATCAAGCATCATAGAAAGAAACATGCAGTCATGCCTTAAATTGTAAGCGGTTTAAAAAGGTTAAAGAATGAAAAACTTTATTGAATTATAATAATAGGTCCAAAAGATCAGCCAATGAATAGTTTAGCCTATCTCTATTAAGCTGGGTTTTAATTTTGTGGAATATGCTTGACCAATCAAGAACCAACCTACAAAACTATTTTTGATATAGTGCAACATAAATCCATTAGAGAGAAAACAAGAAAGCTTATCCTTCTTTGATAGAATTAAGATATCAAAGCAATAAAGCCATCTATGCCAAAAAGTTCCAACCTGGTTCCCAAATGAATTATTTTTCACGTTTCTTCATTGAATGATTTTCCTCCTCATGCAATGTAAAAAACTTGTAATAAGCATAAAGAGAAAAAAGCCAGCTAATATTGACTTGATAAGTTGTAATAAAATTTTCGTGGAAAATGATTTTTCAATTGTTCAATAACATGGCTGTCAATGACAATAACTGGATATGCATATTTCAAGGTCAAGCTTTTACCATCCAATGCATGCAATAATAGAAAACCCACAAAATTACACATTTGTTTATAGAAGAATCCAGAAAATAAAGGCCAACCTTACATTCCATTTGTCCAAATTTTTCTGAGGAAGCAATGTTTCCTTGTTTCCTGTCACCCTTAACAAGAAATTCACAGAAAATCTTAATATATGAGGTTACCAAACCATAGTTTTATGGAAAAAAAAAATAACAAAATTTGACAGTTGAGTTTGATCCTGTTGAAAGAAAGAATGGCTAAAATAATGAATCCTAATCACAATTAAATTTCATGGAAGCAAGAAAATGGTAAAGCATTGCTATGAGAAGCACAAGAAAATGAAGACCTTTAATTTTGTAAGACTTCTCTGTCCTAAAACAACTTTCTCTAGCTTTCCTTCCACATTTTCCTAATAATAAATAAAATAAAACATAAGCCAATGATGCTTGATAGCACTAAGATCAGAAGGCACCGACATGGTTCATGATTCATGCCAATAGAGCGAAATTACTAAACTGAAAGTGAATTTATGCAGATACAATCTCAATCCAGCTACTTTCAACAAAAATGTCATCACAATTCTTCAGACCAACAAGAAAAGGTTTTAAATTCCAGTTCCAAACAGCTAATGCATACAGATCAGGTGCAGACAAATACACATAACCCAACAAACATACCTACAGACATGCCTGCACTTCTTCGAACCTCAAAAAACCCAACAAAAACACAAACAAATCAGAAAAAACCAATCATCAAAAATACAAATAAAATGGTGAACGGACTTGAAAGCAAGCAGTACCACCGTTTGGTTTGGTTTGTATTTGATTTTGAGTTGGGAAAACAAAAAACTATGACTTCGATTGGATCAATTCAATTTAAACTGATATTTTTGTTCATTTAGACTTGTTTATGATTGGATTAACGTAATTAATAATAAAGAGGAGATTTTATGTGCAATCAATTAAAGAACAAACCTTCAGGTTGCTCAAGGTATATGAAACTTTGGATAGTTTTATTTTGTTCTCCATTTTCAATTTCTCAAAAAGCCAAACCCAAACCAATCAAAACAACCGGCTTATGGAAAACCACCAAACAAACTAAAAACAAACTCAAATCAAGTTGTATCAAACTGCACCAAGGGGTACACATGCGCTTGATCCTCTCAATCATTGGGTATGCCATGATTAATAATGTTAGCTGAGAACAAATGAATCCCCTCAGCAAAAACAGAAAGCTAAAAACAGCTTAAAGTTTATAGTGTGCCAGGCCTTTATGCTGAAGCAGGTTCTAAGAACAGGAGGAAAGCCATGTCGGGAAAATAGTGTGGGAATATTAACTAAATATCAAAATTTACCCTCTCCACCGTCCCAAGCCTCTTGCATTTCAGTGTTTTATCATGAGAAGATGAAAAAGTAAAATTTTACGCCATGTCAGGTTCTAATATTAAAAGAAAAATAGTTTTTATAGTGTGGACAATGTTTTCATGTAAAAAAGAGGCAGCAACAAAATTATCATAGCATCCTTAAATTGCCCAATGGCCAGACAAAAAAAGATACAATATTTTTTAATTCTCATACTGTTATTTTGACCTCCAATTAATGAACTAAGGTAAACGTTCACCTACCGCTAACCTACCGCTCACCTACCTCTCACCTACCAATCTCTTGCTTCTATAAATAGAGAGGGTGTGAGGCTTAGGAGAGCAAGAGAAGAGATCTTAAGCTACTACAAAGGAGAAGAGAATAACTAGAGAGCTAGAAAGGAAGAGATCATCTTGAGGCCTTGTATCAAGGTGTCGCTTGAGAGGGAGACCATAGAAGGAAGATGAGAGCTCATCTCTATGTATAAGCTATGTATTCTTCATTTCTTTTGCATTAGTGAACTATTTGATTGATTCTCTTCCGTGGACGTAGATCCAGTTGGATCGAATCACGTAAACGATTTGTGTATGTTTGTGTTCTTTGTGTCTTATTTCTATGCCAGGAAGAAAATATCTCACAACAATTGGCGTCGTCTGTGGGAAGATCCATACTTCTTGGCTAGAGGTGTCCGCGTAAAGGTGTTCGCGGCCAGCGACGAAGAAGAGGAGTTCGACATTCACGAACAAAGGAGCAAGCAAATCGTGTCGCAAGAAGCCGAATCGCGACAGATTCATGGAGCAGTGGAAGCTTTGATCGACTGGATTCGCACCGCAGGTTGTGCGGTTCGGCGAAACGGAAGAGGAACAGTCCGCGAGCGAGGGCTGAAAATTTGCGACAGGGCTGCCAACAGAGGATTTCGGAGCAGGAGTTCGGTCTTGCGAGCAGCTCGGCCAGAGG